TTTTTTTTTTTATTCCGAAAAGGATGTGACTTCTGATACTGGACATTAAAATTAAAAATCAGAAAAAAACATGGGATCGGCTCATGGCCGCGTTTCTTTGACGGCAGTGGAACCTCGTACAATTTTCCCGGGAAACGTATCCAAACTGCGGTGACTTACAACTTGGTAAAGTTAAGGATCTGACTGTAAACATAGAGAAGACATTTGATGAAGTTTGTGTTTTTAGGACATTTGTGGAACACTGGTGTTGCATAATAGGCTTGTCTGAATTTAGGAAATTATTGGATACTGTAATTCGTTTCATTGTTTGCGCAGACACTGTAAACAATGACGTACACGTGAAAGACGTCGAATTACATGTTGATAATAGCTTTATTGAAAGTGTTGCACCAGGAAATCACACAAGACAACTATAATATTTATTGTTCACAGTTGACTTTTGTAGTATACGGAATACAGCCAGACCTGCATACAAACTTTGGGGGGACACACAGTAGGTTCGGATAACCGAACATTTCGGATAATCGACGTTCTACTGTACCAAATTTACATCAAATTTGAACGAGTGTTGGGTGATGAACCCTCCGGTTTAAGACATAGCAACGAAAAACATAGATCACAAGTGAAAGTAAAACAAATTGAGGTGCATGTCTATGTTATTGCACCTCCTAAAATTGTTTAAAGTATGTTTGAGGATGGGAATAAGGCACTAAAATTACATTACCATACATCTCATGAATATGAATGCTTGTTGCCATGGTGCCCTACAATAAATGTTTACATGGGGCTTACAATGTTAACATATGTGTAATGACCGAATTTGAGATTCTGGGATAGGGAATACAGCAATTGCAACTCTTTGTAATTGTATTGTTAATTCTAAACTACAATTTAACGTTTGTCAGGCCTCTAATTTAAATTAACATGGATGGGGGTGTCAAACAATGGTGATCTATCTGTGAATTACACTTGCCCATCTACATCATAAAATTAAAAGAACTCCCCCTGCTGGGGGGATAGTTTGTCAGTGTATTAGTGTAAAATGTCCATATCCCCATAACCATATCTGAGAGGCGGAAAGCAATATAGATATGCGAAAGGCGCTTGCTCGTTTTAGTTCCAAAAAACAAGATGGTTGCCAGTCAGCCATTTTGAATCAAATCGCTCAACCACTACATATGTCCCACATAAAGTACTAGACACATGCAAAGAATGAACAGAATCAGTCCAAAGGATTCTGAAATATGACTCCGAATTGACAGACGAAGTCCGAATTATAAGTTCCTGTTTTTGAACTTCGTTCGAACTAACAACAGGAATTATAAAGAACAGTAAACATCATAATAGTGAATATATTATAGAGAATACTGAGAAAACATTGATTCAGAATACATGTACGCAGCCTGAAAAAACAAACATATGACCACCCCTACCATTCACTCCCAGAATACAAGAATACACTGACTATATGTAGCTGTGACTCTAGACTAACCTTTGGTGCTGCAAGTTGTTCTGAGATAGGACCAGGTTGAAAAAACTTGTTTGCATGTAGAACTATATGTCCTGCATTTGAAAACAACAGATCACAAATAAACAGCAATCAGTGACAAACATTTAATTCATGGAAAAATATATAGCAACATTATTTTGTTTTTCAGGGATCACACTTTGTTCTTTCAAATTTCATGTATTTTACAATGTATGTTATACTGTAAAACAAGCCATGCGTGGCACAGTCCCTGTTAGTTATCGAATTTAAGATATACAGTTTTGTTTATAGTAATATAGCTGGAATATAAACATGTGAGGAATATGATTATGATGATTGTTTAACATTTAAATGATTGACAATTGTATCTGATCATCAAACGATGATTGAGAGATATTGCTCTTGAACAGCATTAATTAAAACAAAATCAGCCATTTTGAATACATGTATAATGAATATATAAAATTTGAACATAATCAGTCAAAGCATGTCAGAGATATGGCTCAAGAAGCCCATTCATTAAAACAAAATGGCCGCTAGTCAGCCATTCTAAATCCGATCTGAAAAATAAAATGACGTGCATCAAAAACCTGTAATGTCTAAATGTATGTATCAAGTTTGAACAAAATCCATCCATAAATGCTTGATATTTGATGATTTTTTACCACAAAAATGGCAACCATTCGGCCATTTTTAATAGGATCATCAAACCAATATATCTGTATATCTATGACATGATGTATAATGAATATTTAAAATTTGAACATAATAATCAGCCAGAGCAAGTCAGAGATACAGTACTCATTCCGCCCAACCTCTCGCTTTTATCGCTCTTTTTCCGACCGCTTATCGCTTAATTTCCGACCGCTCGCTGCTTTCCGACTGGAAACCGACTGATTTTTTTCCGCTCGCTCGCGTTCGCTTTTGTTCGCTCGCTCGCTCCTGCTATGACTGGCTTCAGAAACACCGTCCGCTTGCCAACCGACCACTGGAGTAACAATGATCGTACATTGTATGTATAAACTTAAGTTTGTATTCGTAATAAATTTACTAATAGGTTTTAATGACGATTCAAAATACAACGCCTATTGCTTCTCTGTTTTGGAAAAAAGACGCCTTCAAATCACTTGACACATTGTAACGTTTGCTACGCAAGTCGAACTGTGACCTGTATTTACATATTTACGTCCTTGTGTGTGTAGTTCAAGCAGCTATATGACTGGTCAATTGCGATATTATTGAGTACTAGTAT